TTAACGTGCATCGGAGGACATCTCAGCATAATCTCGGTCTTCGTCTGGCTTTCATCTCTTCGCGCAATGCCGATCAAGTATTTTTGGCAACGTTGTTACTCATTATTTTAATGACCTGCGACGTAAGTTTACTTCGAGCTTAATGTCACTAGCAGTGGCAGGGCCACGATGGAAAGAGCTGTGAAAATCTTAATAATTTAAGAACTTTTGATGAATTTTAAATGTTTCCGAACTGACTTCAATAGGATGAGAAATCTCGTGAAAACAGTTTTTGTTAGCTATTCCCGTCACACTGCGCTGGACAGATTTTTAAAGAAAAGCTGTTGTTCGGTTGTTCCCATTGGTTAAATTTTATTATTTATTGGAATCACGGTTTTCAACGATATTTTTTAATATGCATATTAATTGCACAATATAAGGCAACTCTGTAAATATTTGGTAAAATAAGTGATTTCTCTAGATGTACAGTACAGCAAGATCAAAACAGAATTGAAAAAATTTTCTCCAAACATTTTTCTCTGGCGTGATTTACAATATTTTCAAATTCTGAAAGCACCTTCACGGTTTGTTATCCAATGGCAATACATATACATAGCATCCATATTTAATAGCTATTCTGCAATATCTTGTTCATAAATTTCTTTATTTATATTCCCTTAATGTCAATAAGTCTGTAATTACAAGCTACACAATTTTGTATAAAACATTTTTGAATAATAAGAACGAAAAATTATTTTCGACCACATTTGACTACAGTATTATCAAAATCGCAAGCAACCAGCTGTTGCTGTTGTATTTTAGAGCATCTGAATTGCCAAAATTTTATCTTATTTTTCCGTCATGTAATATTGACAAAAATGGCGTCAAGTAGGTTGACTCTGCACTTCCCACGCAAAGCCGTCATCCGTCCATAAACGGCTATGTTGAGCACAAACTAAATCCTCTGAGAAAAGTCATTCAAGTCCATACAATTAGTCTTCAGACATTCTTCCCCTGCTCTACCTGCAGTATATCTGGAAAAGTCACCTCTCCGCAATACTTAAACCCGTCAGACGTGGCTGAGCGGTCAAAGCATAGGAAACACTATGCTATGTACTATACCGCGGCACGCTGCTTGGAGCAGCAGTCGCGGTCGATAGGTAAACGATCTGTCAGCTGAGAATATTTTTATTTTTCTAAGTTTTAAGGGGTAATATACGGAGAAACCTATGATGTGTGAAATATGTCGAATAGATACGTAAGTTTTTAAACCTCTAAAACTTTTTTCAGGATCCTCTGAAACGTCAAAAAACGAAGTTTACGCGATTTTTATTCTTTTTCGCTTTGGGCCTTTTACTCTGTCGCTGCTGGACCGTTTTTAAAAAACTACAAAATTTTTATTCATTGAAATCCCAGCGGTACTTCTCAAGTTATTAGATCGGACAAACCGACAGACGGAAGTAAAACGTGGTGTTTGTCGTAATTTGGTCAGAATAGTATTGAAAATTTGCGAAACTTAAATTCAAACCAACAGTTTCTTAAGAAGTAACGAGATATCGGAGAAACTAGCATCTAGCCTAGCCAAATCTAGCTTTTATAGTCGAAATCACGAGAGATGACGATTACGTCACCATTTTAGTCTGTAGCAAAGACTAACGACAGCGATTTGTAGCAATATCTTTAATGAAGTTTCATATGTGTTAGACAGAGACAAACATAATTTTATTGTCTAAACAAACTGTATTGCTAATTTGCATGTATCCGACAAAGAAAGGCGATGTTTTCATGTTGCATGATCGATAATATTTGAAAGATGAATAGTTAGGTTATGTTAAAGCAGATTAGGTTGTTTTCGAATAATACTTTGATCTTTGGTGTTCCTGTCTTAAGATATTCTACTCATAACAGTTTTTTTCAAAACAAAAACTCCCCACTAAAATTATTATTAAGGTATCTATCACTCAAAACCATGAAATAAAATGAAAATAAAAATAATCAGTGAAATTACCTAACTTCGCAAAATCATAATATAAATTTGTTGTCATTATGTTCCTGACATCGTGATTTTATCATCGACGAACGTCCATTGATTACTTCGGTACAATTTATGATATGACCTAATAGTCATATTTTGTGATTTTGACTATAGCTTCCATATGCACTGTGCACATTCACCATTTTTAGAAAACGTATAAAATTGCCAGGCACAATTTGTACAACAACAATCTTTAACGAGAAGTTTGTGAAGAAAAGATTCTGACGTGTAAATGTTTCATCCAAACCTGAAGTTGGCAATATTGAGCAGAAAATGTTTCAAAATGGTAGTCTATGCCATCCTGTACTCAGTTTTTGAGTAGAGAAAAAATTCAACATTAAAAAACAGTCAAACAATGACGGAAGAACTATGTTCTTCACTGTAGTTTTGTTGCAAATATATAAGTCTAGTGCTGCTTCATCCCAAAAAACATTCTCAACATACGTCACTGGTAAGCTAAATGCGTTCTCAAGAGCATACCCTTTTCTTCTTATAAGTTGTTCTGAATATCGGACATTATACAGAATACTAACAGCTATTTTTGTACCCGAGTGGATGCATCGTTGCATAAAAAGAGAAAGGTCAATGTTTAATACTCAAGGTTTGTTGGTTAAAGGTAATCATACTTATGGTAAATCATTGATTAACCATTAATGTATTCTCCCTGAAGATAGCAACCTAATACTATATTCGGGCGTCCAAAAAATTATTCGAGATGAAATGAGATACCCCATCGTCATCAATGAGAGTTTGCCCAGCTATGTTACTTCTCTTCACGATAATTGTAAATCTACGTTGAAGAGGTCTCATCGATGGCCCTGTAGCTAACTATATATGAACATATAGCTACAGCGCCATCTACGAGCCACTAACCTCAAAGTAGATTTCTAATATAGATAAAAAGGCTCTAAAAAGACTATGAGCATTTGAAGGTGCCTTTTCAGTTATTACAAGCAATTCATACTTATTGCAATTACGTAATTTGGAGAGCTGAATTTATAGATGACCGTCAAGAAATCCCGAACTATCCTTTGGCCGAATTTGTGATAAAAATTGAACCCCCTCAGGGATCACAAGGCCAAATTGATCAGATTCGGAATATACGTACCCGATTTAACCTGAAAAAAGTTATCGTCTAGATCACAAATATAAAACTTAGTATACGTAGATCATTTCTGACGCTCCATTCAAACTTGATCATCGAAATACTTAGAGGGTGTTCCAAGTAGATCTACGATCGACTTGACGTGAGACAGCTAAGGTAGTTTATAGTATGGCTGATAGGAGCAATTATGCTGAAATATTTTCAAAATGGTGGGCACTTCCAGTTGTACCGAGAGTAGATACCAACTTGCTTATTTCGAATAGAACACCCTGTATATATTATTCGATTTTTAGATTTTACGCGAGTTGCTAAATACAGTTCATGTATATCATCCTATACCTGTGTTACGGTTTTTGACATATCGCAAATTTTGCGTAAAAAATGACTGATGCAAGTCATCATAGTAACATTTTTTTCTCATATTTTTGCCTTTGCGAAGTGATTTGTATTGGGTTTATTATAGTAATGGGCCCATTTTAGTATATTTTAGTCCTGAGTTCAATAACAAATAGTACAGGGAGGTTGAAAAAGGTAGAATAAATATTAGTATTTAGAAAACCTAAAAGTATTTTTTTCAAGTTGAGACTTTTTTAAAACTGCATCGTATTAATTAAGTCTTGAAAAAATAATAGAATTTATTTGTAGCCATCAGCACAAAAACAATAAGAATTGCACAGCTGTACTAAAACAAAAAAACAGCTGCAAAAGGACTAGTAAGGTTAATTTTGTATAAGACTGTCTACTTTTAGGGCCGTATCGTCAGTCGTTCCTACAAGTGTAGGACGCTTTTATGGCCTCCTTTATTTTCATAGTATTTCCTCTCCTTCAGAAAGGGTATTTCCAGATTTTCACTGTACTGTGTCAGGGTCAGTGCTCTCCTATTGGGAGGCTATATTTTCTTTTTGAATTGTAGGAAATTGCAGGCTGATATAACAGATAATATCAATCAAAAGCGTGAACAATGTAATGCAAATAAATATCTGTAGCATAACCTCAAAATAGAGTGCTGACACGGAAGTAGGAAACTATGAAAATCAAGGAGGCTATAAAGGCGTCCTACAATAAAATTGTAGGAACGACTGACGATTCGACCCGACTTAGATTATCTTATGGTAAAAGCCTTATCGGGCATATACGAGATAGAAAAACCAATATGTCCATATACATATCTTGCAATCTATCATGTAACTAAATAAGATCGTGCGGTTGCTGTATATCGCACATTGCCATGGATGTTGTTGATCGATAGGATCTTCCACAGGTTGTGGACGCAAATTCCAGGACAACGTGCCAAGAACTTGCAGAAATGTTCAGAGTGAGTTGTGAAACTATTCATTTGCATCTTCATCAGCTAGGAAAGACGTGGAAGTTAAGCAAATGTTGTTCAGCAAACATTTCACGCAACGCTAATGAACCATTTCTTAATCGGTTATTAACCTGCGACGAAAAATAGATCTTGTATTCGAATTCTAAGGGTTCGTATCATTGGTTGTCGCCTACTGATTCGGTACTACGCGCGCCCAAGGCTTCCTTGCACCCAAACAAGGTTTTGTTCCTAAAGCAAAAGTACGAGAAAAAAATTATAATTCATTGGCCTGCATTTATCATTTTTCACGGAAAATTTGAGATATCTCAAACACGGTTAGACTTAGAATGATGTACAAGAGATGTACATATTTATAATCCCTCGTAGAATCCAAAAATTGGAGAATATACAGTGATCAATCAAATAAGCAAGGTGGTATCTACTCCCGGTACATGCAGGAAGCATCACAATTTAAAAAAAAATAGCTGAAGTGCTCCCACCAGTTTTACTACAAGCTCAAATTATCATTAATGTTGTACATCAACTTTTCGAGTAATATGAGACAATACAACATCCATGGGTTGAAGTGTAACTTCCGCGGCCGGGATTCGAACCAACGAGCCTTCGAGCCGATTTGCCCACACTGTTACACATCTAACTACTTAGCCCTTGGACAACCCAAGATGCAAACTGCCATCTCCTATTCTATATTGACGCGTCTTCCTTCCGCGGCGTAATTTCTTTAGACATGTCATTAGTATGATAACTTTTCTATTAGGTTCATTGCATTTGCAATTCAATAGTGTGCATGTATTTTTAGGATGCAACTGCGTGAAAATAAACTAAATCTTTTACCTCAGAGCCAGACTAGTTAAGTACAAATGAGTTGTTTTGGAATAATTGCATTTAAAATATTTTTCTTGTATTGATGTGTCCTTTTAAAGTCATAACTTCTTCATTACTACAGATAGGTAGTAGCAAATGAAAATTCATGACATTATCATACCTTAACCTAGTCTGGTTCTGAGGTGCAGAAATATAGATTTCTACTAATATAATATATTGACATTGGTGAGAATAATTCTAAAATTATTCTAGTTTATTGAGCTTTCTTTTTGCTATCAACTACATTCCAATAATATATCATTTGGAACACCAAAATAGAATTTGCTAATGTGCTAGCAAGATAAGTTAAAATTACAATATTATCTCCAGTTTCCTGGATAGAAGTGAATATCCTGGCTGCTGATCCGCCAAACAGCATGAATACTGTCACCGCAGATAGCTGGCCAGTGCTACCATTCTTATAATTCGTCCAAGCTTGGATCAATTTTCCTGCTACAGCAATCGGAATGTTGATAGATTGCAGTGACCAAAGGAAAGAGATCGGAGTCAGTCCAGACATCATAGTGTAACATATTGCCGAGTATATTGACAGGTATGACACTGCCTGAGCCAAAGCATCCCTGTAGTACAAAACTAGAGCAGCTATGATCACTGTTTGGAATGCTAGGAATGTTGTGTCTCCATATGAGCTGAAAGGGTATCCCTTAGCAAAATTGTATGACATGTGGATTGTGATTGCAGTGAGTTCCAAAGTAGTGCCTGGTATGCTGATGCCCTCTCCACTTTTGTTCGAGAGGATTTTGATGATTTGTGGGAGTTTCACCATAATTGAGCCCAAAATTATACCAATGCCCAGGCCTTTGCTTAGTGTGGCTGAAAAACATGGCCCTGAAAGAAAAAGAACATTGCCTCATATTTCTAAAGAAATCAAATATAGTTAATTGAGTTGGACCCAGTGTTGTTTGTATCTTCGCTATTTCAATAGCTCAAATGTAAAAGAGTTCAATAAATATAGTACTTACCATCTAGGTAGTTGAAATCAATAAAGTAATTATCGAAACACTGTGGAGTGAACAAGAATAATGCAGCCTTCCTAAATATATCAAATAACGTGGAGTTTCTTTCCATTTTTGAAATACAAGCTGAGAATACAACCAAATACTACTCAGAAATCACACGTTATACAGGTTTAAGCATGCAACGATGTATTAGGCTTCACTTAATGCTATCAGTCTTAAAATTACTGCTTTGTAAATAAAATTGCATTCAATTTTATCGAGATATTGAATAATCAAATTAGACAATTATCAAGGGTCAAACATTTGTAAACAATTGTCAGATTGTCCGCTGACACCTTGACAGTTATACTACTGTAGTGTCATCTAGTTATGTAGTTCAGGTCTTATAGTGCACCTAAGCCCCAATAGATGTCACCGTATTTTTGACAATTCTCCCTTATATTTTGATTATAAATAGATCTCAAAAACAGTCCGAGTAAAGATAATATGGCCACGCAAGACAATTGTTGAAATGTATTTTACTAGACCCTAGAAGACTATCAGTAGTGAAATTTTTGCTGAAATCGTTGCACAACACTTAAAAAAATGCAAATGAAAATTGAAGTACTAAAGTAACCATCGATATCCCGGGATAGACATCTGCCTTGTCATTCTTGCCATCTGGATTGCGGCGTTGCCAGCTTATCGGACGACTTTGCTACCTCTTCTATTTTGATAGAATGTAAATAAAGTTTTGTATAAAATGTTGAGGAATACCAATGGAGATATATAAAATTTGAGGCGTAGCAATGTTTTCCAAAAAACTAAACAAAAACTGTTATTTACATTTTGCATCGCCTGGCGTCCATGCGGCGGCATGTAAATGTATCTGAATACGTTATTTTAGGATAAGAAACTCTACTATTTTTTAGTATCCGTCTTATACGCAGAGATATTAGGCATTCATTTTGAGGAAGCTAAAAATGGACAGCTTGATAACTTGAATGCAACTTATAACTCGTCGATCATGTGGAATTACAGGCAGACGCATTTTGGACGCATCACATCCCTACTCTTGTTGGACATTTAGTGCCCACATATCCTCCAACAACCGAGCTAAGACATTGTAGTTTCCTAAACACGGGGCTGAGATTTCAGGTTTGAAAACGCCAGAGAATCAACGCTTCATTTATTACACCATATTTAGTAAACATAGTGCCAAGGGCTTAGTGTCAAAGCACGATACTGTCAATTATAGACTATCACGAATTCCTTGGACTAAAAATAGAATTTTGTTCGAGGCTTTGCTAATAGTTTTGAGAAATGGATGCAAGTACATAAGAATACAAAAGAACGTTACAATAGTACACAAATTTGGCCAAATCGTTTTTATTTTTGTCTGACTTTATTTAAAGAAAAGTCGAAGAACTAATGGCACTACATGATGGTGTTTTTAAATGTGATCGAAATGCAGAACATTTAAAAAAAGGACGACACTGTAACTATATTAGCATCTTTTTCTACGACTTCAACGATGTATCACGTTACCCTTTTTTAGTTATAAACGTGTTTTTTTTTGTTGCAAACAAATGCTTGATGTAAGATTGTGTTATTACTGAATTTAACCAAGTCTGATCCTTATCTTGGCCACCTTCTAATACATTATTTTAAAACTAAATTTACAGAAACGTGCTCTATTCTAACGTTCTTGTAAGTATTCTTATGTACTTACATTCATTTCTGAAAAATCTCAAAACTATTAAAAAAGCCTGGAACAAAAGGATACTTATTTTATTGAAGTATTTTACATCGTGCTTTGACACTAAGCTCTTGGCACTATGTTTAGTAAATATGGTGCAAAAAATCAACCGTTGATTCTTTGGAAGTTTCAAACCTGGAATCTCAGCCCCGTGTTTAGGAAACTACAAGGTCTTACCTCAGTTGTTGGAGGATACGTGAACACCAAATGTCCAAGAGTAGGGATCTATGAGCGCCCAAAATGCTGATTCCGTCTGCCTGTAATTTCACATGATCGACGAGTTATAAATTGGATTCGAGTCCAAATCCTTCAGGTGTCCATTTTTAGCTTGCTCAAAATGAATGCCTAATATCTCTGCGTATAAGACGGATACTAATAAATAGTAAAATGGAAATCGTTCTTCTCCTATTGATGATCATGTAATTTTTGATCAAACATTTAATAAACGTAGTTACATAAAAAACATTGTTGTTTTTCAATTATTGGAAGAAATCCCGTATCCAAAAAGGCATTTATAAAAGTATTGAGAGACATTAACGGTCCGCCTCATAGACGCCAGGCGACGCAAAATGTAAATAACAGCTTTTTTAGCTTTTTTGGCAAACATTGGTACGCCTCAAATTTTATATTGGTAACCTTCAATATTTTATCCAAAGCTTCTTTTTTTCATATTTTAGCAAAATAGCAGAATTAGCAAAATTGTCCGATGAGCTGGCAACGCCGCAATCTAGGTTACAAGAGTGACAAGATTGTATGTCTATCCCGGGGTAACGACGGAGTCATTTAGTACGTCAGGTCATTTGCATTTTTCAAGCAGAGTGCAACGATTTCGAGAAAAAATTCGCTACGGATAGTCTACTAGAGTCTAGTAAAGTATATTTCAATAGTTGTCTTGCGTGTCATGTTATCTTTACACGGGCCCACAAAAACATCAACAAATAAGTTTAGGAGTTCTCTATTTTATTGAAAAATATGCTTTTATCGGAACTACTGTATAATATTCAAAACAGCTATTGCTGCCATCTGTTGGATGGTAGAAAATATAGGCACCGGAACGGTTTGGGAACTTAGTTATTATAACATAAATAGTTACTAGAACATAACTTTAGACTTTGTAGTCAAGTACTTATAACTACTGACATCATCTTACGAGTTTTTAGTGAAAGCTCAAAAAAGTGGATCTGAAATGAGCAGATTCATAGGTAACTGTCTAAGGATTCCTAAGCTACCGATTGAGTAGCAACATATGGTTATGACAGATGTGATGTTTGTCAATTTCGCAGTCCGTTGTCCGTTGTTGTCTGTCACTGTTGTTCGTTGCTGTTGCTGCAGTTGGATCACCAACGTCCTTCTAAAAAAATTATCGAACTTTACCGTTATCCTTATTACTGTTTAGAATAAGGTTCTTTTTGGTATATCTGTAGTAACAAATCCTGCATATAATTTCGCTGAGATTTAGAGGATTCAGAAAGCCGTATATGGCCAATTTGTGTGTGCGGAGACAAGCATGTCAAGGAAATGCTCGAGATCAGTGAATTCTATTTTTTTAATCGTTTGAATTTCTATTTATAATTGCCAGTGCTATTTTTAACGCAAGTTGTCGTCGAACGAAGAACTACAATGAATGTTTTTCCAGACGAAAGTTGATTACAGCTACTAGAAACAGGAACATTTTTTTCTTGTTACCATTATGGCTTCAATTACTAAGAGATCATGGAAATTCCGTGAGTATATCTTTGTCCATTCACATGTCTGTTAATATTGCCTAGAAATTGAGATCATTGTACCAATGTTTCATCCTCAGACTATGTATGATAACATTTAACAATGTGGTATTTTTTCAGAGGACTTCATGGCACACAATGCCAATGTGAATTGCTTGGCTCTGGGGCACAAATCAGGAAGGGTGATGGTAACAGGAGGCGACGACAAAAAGGTGAATCTTTGGGCAATTGGAAAACAAAGCTGTTTTATGAGTCTTAGTGGACATACCACACCTGTGGATTGTGTGCAATTCAACCAGCTGGAAGAACTTGTTTGTGCCGGATCAAGAGCTGGAGCTTTGAAGGTAAGAAGGAGCAAATACAATGAAATTATTTCAAACTGTATTTTTTTACCTATGTCAACTTTATAATTCTGAGGCTCACAGTTAAACTGTTGTATGTTTAAGAAACAAAGTTTCCAATTATGAGCAAAACAAGTGGATATTTTAACACATTTTAAATTTTAACTGAACATAGTACCACTAGCCATATCCAGAAAAATTCTGGTTGGAGTTCAGATTCCATAGAAGGTATAATAATGCCATGATAATACGTCTATAACTTTGATGGTTTGCATATGATGGCAACAAGAGCTTACTTCGGAAATTTTTAAAAAAATCTGTCAACAATGTGATACCAAAACTAAATTGTTCAATTTCTCATGTAAACACTTAATGCTATTTAGCTAGGGAACATTTTATGGATGATTTCCGCTCTCCTAAAGTCATAAATCCCTGTTACATAGATAAAATTGCATTTTCAATTGTGATAAGAGAATGTTTATATTAATTTCTCTATCATGATTCAGCTTATTCACTTTTTTTGCTCTTGTGTTGGAAAAAATTTATTTAGAATTCACATAAAGCTGCATCTATATAATGCACCATGCCAGCATGGAACACAGTCACAAAACTTGATAGTGTAGTACTGATAGATGTAGAAACAGGACAAACTAGAAAATGCTTTTAAAGTCAAAAGGTCCATAGGTTAAAAAATTGGACAAAAATAATTTATAGACCTTTTAATAAATAGTTTTTGATCACATACAATCCAGTACAATTGCTTAATACAGCTTATCAATGTCCTGCAGTATAAGTCTGTTGTATTCATTTTGAGTTAAAGGAAGTGTGCTGAAACAGGCTTAAAAACATGCCATTTCTAAAATGCTATGGGGACAAATAATTATAAATATCAAGTTTCTAATCTAAAATTAGCCAATCATTTATATGAATCTTCTTGTAGTATAAGGGGAATAACATGAAAATCTTGAAAATATACTCATATATTGCAATACTACAAAATCAGAACAAAGACTTGAGTTAAGAACTGAGGCCATGGAGTACACACTGAACATTCAGTTCACTGAGCCCACTGTATTCACTTGCTCCCATAATTCTATGTTGCACTTCTTACTCCTGGGGTGCATTTGTAATTTCAAACCATGTTTTCTGCAACCATTGTTTTTATTTTAAGGAATAGGGATACTAGATACTAGCCTAGTTATAGTGAAAAATATATATTTTGACAATTTTGGGCTTTTTTTAATAACCAAATAAAGTAAACAATGAAAATGGTCCTTTATATGGAAATATCTTGATTATGTTTGACTTCTGCTAAACCCATTATTGTCACTGCAATGAAGTTTTCTTTCCTGGTGCCATGTATTGACCTCCATTTGTATTTACGTTTTCTCAACAAAGTTAAATTTTAAATTAATCATTAATTGTAGTTCAGGTATTCTAAACTTGGGATATTGCCTGTTGTAGATATCATTTTGTCTCTGATATAGAGTCTGGGATCCTCAGGCGAACGTGTTGTTCTTATGTTGCCATGTGGTACACAGCGAAATACACGGAAATTGGTACTTTTCATTCTCCATATTAAAATATATTATATTGAATGAAATGATATAGATCAAATTTTAAGCCTTGTGGCAGCACTAGACTATATTCAGGACGTCGGGAATGCGTCCTGGGGGAGAGGGAGTACAAAAGGTCTGCTCATATAGTGGTCGGCCCTTAAAATTTCATCTATAAAGCTTTGCAGAGTGAACAGAATTTATGTGGCGGTGAATGTGTGGTACCAACAGAAGTTGAGATGTCCAGGGATTTACAGGGGGAAAACAAAAAAGTGGCATACCTAGGAACTAGCTGAAAGAGGCACATAGAGTGGAATTATAACGATTGTGAAGTCTTTGTTTAACGCCCCAATGCCTTAGAAGATTTGTTGTCTAATAACTGCTTGAGTTTATTTTCAAATTTTGTCGATAATATGAAAACAACCAATGCTGTTTTTTACTGACAACATGCTTTGAATTATGATGGACGAGTGTAATTGGGTAGAATACTCGTATTTCCCGAGTTGAAAGAGTATCATTTCCGAAACGTGACATTACAACGACTTTTAAAATTCGACATTTATGCATGTCAAGATGACAAATGCACATTTCATCAATCGTAACTAAAGATACCGACCTATAGGGAAGTTTTGGATAGCTTCTGGGCAATCTTCACTGAAAAGTTCCTCTACTCTAGGTAACGGGAGATTTACGCTTTAATTTTGCGATAATTCTACACCTGTTATGGCATTTTTTATACATGAGGGAAATATTCAGGATAAGTTTAGAGTAAACTAAAAAATGATCATCTAACAACATACAGTGAAAACCAAATTTGTCGGACGGCTTGAGTTCAATGTGTACGAGAGAGAAGTGTGTATCTACACATGTTAGAAAGTGATAGATGCCGGCCGAAGAACGAGGGTCATCACCACGTTGCCTAGCAACGGTGACGCAGAAGATCGTGGAATCTGCCAATATGTTACACCAGAAAATGTTCGCACAGGTTACTATCAAACCCAAGAAGGAGGTCTGTTCGAACATTTAATATTATGTTTTCATTTGGATTATAACTATTTATTTTAATTTTGATGCAACTTAGTGTGTTAATTTATTTCAGAATAATCTTTGATTTCCACCGCGAGTGATAAAATCAACTCATCCTGAATTATTGTTACATTTTGCGACAAATACCATTATGCAATACAAATGATCACTGCCTGCGTGTACACAGGTGAAAACGGTTTCGACACAGGACGACACTCCCCAATGATCGCTAGATGGGTACTGACCAAAATCGCTCACGTATAATCATGGAGGTGGAAACCTTGCCTTGGAATTTACGAAATGCAGTGTTGCCAAGCGAATCGATGATGCAATGTTGCAGAATTTGTGGCGATCCTGACCTTTTATTTCGATCTAAAATGGAGCGCCGCCGTTAGGACCTATCCGGAATCGATCCTAAACAGATTCGACACAATTCCCAATTCAAAAATGTGTCCGCTCAAAATAAAACCGTTATTTGGGCGTAGAGGATAAACTATCCCTTATTTTCAGCATGCATCTTGATTCAAGGCACTGTTGTAACGTATTTACAACACGGCAGATTGCCGAGTCAGCGGTGCTAGGCAACGTAATGATGAGCTTCCATCTCTTTCTGATATATTTGTCTATACACACACTTATCTCTCTTACACATTGAACTCCAGCCATCAGACAAGTTTGGTTCTCGGTGTATCTGGTCTCTGTAGGCAGCTTGTCAAGTTTTTAGCTAATAGAAAGCATCTGGTGACAGTGTAACCTTGTAATAGAATTCCTTCACTCCACTTTTCATTATTTCTACCAGAATCACGTGATGTTTTTTTTTGTTCCAGGTGTGGGATCTAGAAGCAGCTAAACTGGTACGCACCCTTAACGGCCACAAATACGCCATAAAATGCATAGATTTCAACCCTTACGGGGACTCCTTAGTCTCAGGCAGTGCCGACGCCTCCGTAAAAGTATGGGACACTCGCAAAAAAGGCGCCATATACACCTACAATGGTCACAAAGGCACAGTGAACAGTGTCAAATTTAGCCCAGATGGCCAGTGGATTGCCACGGGAGGCGAAGACTCCATAGTGAAAATCTGGGATGTACGAGTGGGTAGAGTACTGAAAGATTTCCAAGACCATGGGAATCCAGTGACATGTGTGGAATTTCATCCGCATGAATTCTTGTTGGCTAGTGGAAGTATGGACAGATCAGTGCATTTCTTTGACCTGGAAAGTTTTAACTTAGTGTCTAGCGAGGGAGAAGTGGGAGCTGTCCAATGTTTGTGCTTCAATCCAGATGGGGAGTGCTTGTTTGTGGGAACCAGAGACTTTTTGAAAATTGTTGGATGGGAGCCAAATAGGCTGTATGATTCAGTGCCTATGTATTGGGGTAGAGTCAGTGACATATCCACTGCTTCCAATCAGTTGGTAAGTGTTTTATACAATAATTTGCATGTTTTTTTTGTAGTCAATTAATCTAGCATTTTGAAGGTGAAATCTATGAAAATAAAATTAACTTGACCAGCTTTGACTTTCCCCCTATGGGGTAAAAGATAGATAGATAGATAAATATACTTTATTGTCTGCAGAATACAGTCATTCTTAATGGCAAAGCTAACACTAAACTATAACATAATTACATATGTGGATCTTGAGTAGCTAAGTTGTATAACTCACAAATAATACATGGTTTACATATTAGAAAGTTTTTAGGTCACAGCAGAATATCTTTAAATTGTTAATTATTTTGATAGCATTAGGGAGACAAATGTAAATTCTCAGACCATTATAAATTACCGAGTCTTTTGCAAGTGTTGATTTAGGTACTACTGATTCAAGATCTTGTTTTTGTCCAATTTTGTAACTTATATTTAATGTTTCAAATTTACATTTATTTTTAAAAATAAGTGTTGCTGTCTCTAAGGATTGCTTTTAATTATATATATCTAATAGTTCGTTTTTGTAGAATAAGCACTTTTTGAAATAATCACCGACATCGCTGTCAAATCTACGAATAAATTACGTTAAGTAGATTGACTATACAGTGTTGTTAAATGTATGAATTTGAAAATTTCAAAAAAGGAGTGTCGAGTCAAAAGAGTTGAATGGGATTGAAACTTAACATATTCATTTACATATGATGTTATTTCTGGAAATGAAATATCGAAATACGAAATACACTACCCAAAAAAATACAAATTTTTCGGTGATTTTTGACCAGCTGCGTTTCGGTGAAAGATGGTCGTATCTAGTCTCAAAAAAGGCATTTTGAAGCTTTAAGATTCTAGTATTCAGGTTTAATAGCTGAAAAAAATTAGGGCCAACGGTTCTCATGCAATTATAACAGATGACGCAAGGAAATTTTCATGCAAAATTCTTACGTTCTTGTTTTCACTCCATGGGCTTGAATTTTTTTCTGTTGGGTCATCATGTGGATCAGATCGCTCGTTTATTCAGCTTCAATATCCTGCTTTCAGAATTACGAACGATGTGCCGTCGTGTAGGGTTATTAGGGTAGATTTAGATAAATTTAGATATAAAAAAACCTCATTAGTAGTTCCAAAAATATGGATTATTTGACTTTTTTTAAATTCGGATCTTTTTCTTGCTCCATTAATTAGTAGTGTATAAGCAATAGACATTTTCAATTTTTTAATAATGCCGTGTCAAAATCTCATCAAAATCCTAGTAGTACTGTTTGAGTCAAAGAGTGTTCAAGGATTAGTAGGCAGTCGGCCAGACCAATAGACAGCTTTCATTAAAATAAGTGACATAATTATGAATCAGTCATGTAATATCCAAAAAAGATATCCTCACTAACTGGAGTGGAAAGTAAAAATTAATATTGCGTCTCATAGAAGTACAGAGTCATTCAACTTGACTTGACGCTAGTTTGTCTGGTGGGTATCTATTCTGTCGCCTTCGGAACACCTCCTACATATCGTGCTCCATACTCCATGGCGCATTTTTTATCGCCTTCGGAACACCTCCTACATATCGTGCTCCACACTCCATGGCGCATTTTTATCCCAGGCACTTATTCCACAATGTTTCGGACTACACAAAGTTCACATGATGTGGCACGAGTTGCGAACCACATTTATTATAATGGAAACGTATCTCAAGATACTTAATAATAATATTCTTTATTGCCAGCAAAATTTTACTAGAAAAACATAAGCAACGCCAAAGAAAAGCAGAAATGTACTACAATACCATAATGCTAAATATAAATAACATTTAGGTACCATAAGTAGGTATAACTTAAAAAATGTAACACATGGTTATTATATAAAACATAAATAAAAAATACAAATGTAAAATGAAATAAATTTCAATAATTGTAAAAGACCCCCTCCATGTACAAGGGTAAGAGGCCAAATTTTGTTGTACATGTATGTATACAATATTAAAAACTGTTAAAATGACAAACACAAGTCCATTATGTTAAAATTAACTTGAAATGTTATTAAAATAAAATGATAGAGCTCACACAAGCTGTACAAACATCTTTCCAGCAAACACTTTTTCACCACTCTTTTAAACCTAATGGGGTTGCTCTCTCTACTTGAAGGTTCCATTCAAAGTTACTGCACTTGTTGCACACCGCATTCGCTTGTTGCATTTTTGTGGTGTCACTTCTGCAATACGGTGCAGATTGTTTATGTCCCAACAAATGTCTGGCACATGTGTCGGCACATAACACGCAACATGATAGACAGCTATTTGTTATGCCTTTATAGTAATCCTGAAACCAAAGGTAACATATACCATCATAACGAAATGTAATATTCATTAAAGTATTGAACACCAGCTACGTCAAGAATCCATACATGTATTGCATAACACACTCAATCGTCTGGATCGTTGATAATGTATTATTTTAATTATATAACATTTTTAGCCACCGATATGTGGCATGATCGCTTTATTATGGGCACGCGAACTAACCGCGTTGTTAAAATTCTGCACATTTTTTGTGTTCATTCCGTTTCTTTAGAATTAATTTGCATTTTAAACTACCTAAATGCGATTTTCTCTTGTAGAGATTTTGTCCTACCTGTTGTTAAGTGTGTGATGAATAATCATCATCTTTCAAACAGGTTTGGTTCTGTGTATTTAATAACTGTCATCATAGCGATGTTTAAGGATGACTTATCCGATGTCAAATTTGCGAGATTAATATTTAATACCCCAGTTATTAGTTTATTCTGTGACTAAATGAGATTCAAATATTTTAGAATAACAAGGAAATTGCTGTCCATAAAGCTGATTTTTCCCATTTTTTGTTAAACAATATCAGTGGTAAAAAGTGTGAGTCATGGAATAATTTACTGTTATAATATTTTACAAACATGCAAGATTCTGCTGTCTGTTTGTTATTTGCAGTTGTGAAACGCTTTGTATTATAATATAGCATAAAAGTCTAAACTCAAAATTATTTCACTGACAGATACAATTATCGTTCTAGTATATACATAATAGTGCAATTTCATCCAAATACACTGACATCAAAAAGACGCAAAGAAGAAGAATGTCAGGCCTACTCAAATAAATCGATTGGGATCGAAACTTGCCTAGATGCTCACATAGCAAATGCAAATGCTTCTTAACTTAATAGAACATTTTTCATATCAAAAATGCAAAACTCTGAAAATGATCAGAACTCTCTAAAATTTCAAAAAACGAAAACATTTTTATTTAAGTATCCGTTTTTTGTCAGTAGCTGAGTCACCACTAAATCCGTTTTGAAACTCACAAAGCTTTTCAGTATTTGGGATAGTAGTAACCTTGTGAAAAACTAGAAGAGTTAGCGGTCAGACCGACAAACAGACAGACAAACTGACGGAAATGAGAGTCAAGGTTTTTCGTGATTGACATGTCATGTAACATCCAGAAACACGACATGCTGGCTAAAACAAGAGGTGATCTTAGATGTGCTGTTATTTTAAAAATCGTATAAGGCAACCGGGAGAAAAGCCGGTATGATCGCCTGAAGCTATTATTTCTCGAATAGGACGTGTTATTAAATAATTTACCCATCATAAATGATTATAACGCGTCATAAACATATCAATTACCTCCTGAAAGATTAAATCTAGGTCTACAATTCTACTCAATCCGCTGTCGGAAAGTAGCTAGGCACTTTATTACTTCCCAAATGTCATCACTGTGCCCAGTGCTATACCTGTATATAAATAGCATTAATTCACTTTCGTCCAACCTTCCAATCCATACATACAATCACAATAAGTCGGTGTACTTTTGTTCCTTTTACCTACGAATTGCCTTTTTAACGGGGTCATTGACAGCGCTCGGACTCGTACACGAAAATCGAGCGAAAACTACCAGGTGAACACTTAAAATTCTCCAGAGATACATACCATGAAAAATTATGGGCTATTATAGACGTCGAAGAAACGTATAGTTTGCGAAAACTCAGAGCTCGACAATTTCGACCTGAAAAACAAGGTTGAAATCGCTTTAAAATAAACTAAGCTCAAGATACTTTTCAAAGTCTTGTAGAGCAAGTTTTTAACTTTAATATACAGGGTGACAGGTAAATAGGTGTAAAACATTTTAGGAGGTGATAGTACAGCTCCTTTGCTATCAAAATTAGTATATAATACCATACCCTATATTCAAAGGTTAAAAAATTATGGAAGATTTAATTTTTTTTTAAAACAACCCAGATTACAGAGTAAAATAGTTGAGATAAAAAAAAGTTGGTGATTAAACATTCTTTTTTTGGTGGTTTCAGGTTATTATTTAAATAAATAATTTTCAAAAATTAAAAAATATATGAAAACACTACTGAAAACGTATTTATTTTCATTTAAATGTTAGATGAAAATTTTTATTTTCAACTTTCACATTAATGTCTTTTTTTTTCAAAAAAATCATAATAAAGAAAATGTACAAATAACTGCAAAAACTTCCTCGTTTGCTGGTAGACCTCGGTTGTTTGACGACGAAGATCGAGAGGCAATACTGGAATGCTACGGCAGAGACCCGACGACGTCTACACGAGTTATAGCAAAGCAGCTTGGTTTAACTCGACTATTTAACTAAAATATTGTGGACCAACGAGTCTAAGTTTGACAGAGAGGGGACAACAAATTATCACAACTTACATTATTGGGCCCCACGAGAGGCAAATCCCCACATGGCAAAGCCAAGAGCCCATCAAAGAAGATTTTCGGCAAACGTGTGGATGGGAATCGTTCATATATATCTAATTGGACCAGTTTTTTTGCCTGACAACCTGAATGGCGAATCCTATGAAAACTTTTTGAGATCCGAACTCTGGGAGTATCTCGAAGACCTGCCTCTGAATATCAGGATGGAGATGATCTACCAACACGATGGCTGCCCGCGCATTTCCGTCTGGGTGTTAGACAGTGGGTGGACGAGAAATATCCTTGTCG